CTATATTTTTTAAAACATGAGCAGGAGGCAAGGAGGTTTTACAGCTCTCTTTGCTCTCTGACAGAAGACAGCTGTGCCCTTGTCCTAGGGGTGAAGCACGTAGCAAGGAGCCTCTGGAATCATTGGGCTCCTGAGGATGGGGCAAGAACCAGGCAGTGTCCCACACTGCTGTCCAACCAAGTAGACCCTGAAAGACCTTGTCCCCCAGCCCAGGTGGAAAGATGGAGGCCTTCCTGGCTGGTTTTGGGCAGAGCTAAAGCCCAGGTTTCCCCCAAAACAGAGGGTAGAGGAGCCACCCATAGTGACTGGGGAGCAGGAAGGGATTGCTGCTCACCTTGGCCCTGAGCCCTGTTCATCCCGAATCTGTCCTGCACCTCATGCTGACCCCATTCCTTGGCTGCCTCATGGTGGTGGGAGAAACACTGCTCTCATTCCCTGTCCTTTTGTAACAGCCACGGCTTTTTGTCCTGTAATTGAAGACCTATGTGGTGAGTTTTTTCAGAGCCAGGAAGAGCTCGATTTTTGACCATCAGATGGTGAAATTTCTGAGACCTCGAGCTCCACTTTGCCTCAGCTGCAGGAGCAAAGCTGATGCTTTGCTGGCACAGCAGTGCTCACAAGTGCCCCACCTCTGAAACTAAGGAGATATTTGGAGCTCAGCACCCATACCTCAGTGGTTAGGGCGCCGGGCACATGCATTGGGGCTGGTGAGTTCAAATGCACCCCAACTTGCTAAGCAAACAAAAAAATAGCCAGGCATCATGGCAGGCACCTGTAGTCCCAGTTACAAGGAAGACTGAGGCAAGAAAATTGCTTGAGCCCATGAGTTTGAGGTTGCTATGAGCTGTGACACCACAGCAAGTCTACCTACGGTGACATAGTGAGACTCTGTCTCCAAAAAATGAAAAAGGAGGTATTTAGGGCTGCTCACTCTTCAGAACTAGACCTCAGCACAGTGGTCTTTGCTTCTGTCCCCTGTTGTCCAGGCTCTCGGGACCGGAAGTCGGGTGGGAGACTGGGCTCCCCGAAGCCAGAGCGGCAGAGAGGCCAGAACTCCAAAGTCCCTGCGGCCCCAGCAGACAGGTGAGTCCCACCCAGGCCCTGGTGCAACAGGAGACAGGGCTGGCCAAGACTGCATTGCTCAGAGACCAGGCCCAGGAGACAAGACTGCCAATTTCTGATTTCTTCCCAAGGGGCATCCACAGTGTCTGCCCACCTGCCTTGACAAGAGGGTGGAGGCCAGGCACATAATCCTTCCCACTCACATCCCTGCCCTCGGCTCCCCACACCCTCCTGAGGCGTACTGGACACTGAGAGGCTGGGGCTGGGGACTCCTGACTGGCTGGGACAGCTGCAGCTGGAGGCCACCCAACCAGAGCACCCCTTCCTGTCCTGGGCACTGGCAGTGCCAGGCATGGACTCTGGCAAGGACACCCTGGAAGTTCACCTGCAGGGCTGGGGATGAGCCCTGTCCTCTCTCACGGTTCCCTTTGCCCCTGCAGGAAGCGTCAGGCATCTCCCCAGTCCAAGAGCTCCAGCAAAGTCACAAGTGTGCCAGGCAAGGCCTCAGACACAGGCACCGCTGCCAGCAGCAAATCAGGGAAGGCCAGCACACTGTCACGGCGAGAGGAGCTCCTGAAGCAGCTGAAGGCGGTGGAGGACGCCATCGCACGCAAGCGGGCCAAGATCCCCGGGAAGGTGTAGGGGCCACCTGGGCCTGGAGACTAAACATGTTTTTATAAATAGGGTGAACACAGCCATTTTGGATTTTGCAGTTAATATCTTATTTTGGCTGTGATTCTTTTTAAAAATTACAAAAAAATTCTCAGCTGGAAAAGAAGCCACACAAAATGATGACGACGCAGCCTCCCCGCAGGACAAACAGGTCAGCGCTGAGCAACACACAGCACCGATTTCATGTAAATTATAAGTCCCAGCCACCTCTGTTTCCTCCTTCCGCCCTCTGGCCAGGCCACAGCTGCTGTGCATCCTTGTCCTCAGCAGAGCCGGTCTCCCTCCCATGTGGCCAGACGCCCAGTCTTTCCTCAACCACAGGCAGCATCTTCCTTCTCCTCATTGCCCCCAGGATCAAAAATATATATATATATTCTTGACTAAAGTCTGATCAGGAAATGTTTCCTGTCTTTTATTTTAAAACATCAAATTGTTTTAGTTGATTTAAAAAGAAAAAAAAAAAAGACCAAAAAAAAAATAAAGGCCAAGGGTATTGTTGGGGCGTCTGTCTAATGTGGAGGGTCTTTTTTGAGGGGTCTCCTAAAATAAAATATTTTGATAAGCAGTTGTCCTTGTCCTTATGATTTGTGCCACTGATGGTGAGTGAAGACACAGTGGAGACAAGCAGGTCTGTGCTCTGGGTCCCCTGTGAGGACGAGCCCTGGAATAGCTCCTGCCAGCTCAACCCCTGTGGTGTGCTGGGCCTCAGTTTCCTCTTCACAGGGCTGGGCTGTCCTGCCCCCAGTGAGTTGTGCTAGGGCTTCCTCAGGTCTCAGCTGGCGGCTCCCTTCCTGGCAGTGGGCCTTGGCTGGATGGAGACCGTAGAGCAGATGGGCAGGGATCCAACAGCAGGGAGGAGTCAAAGACAAGGGCCCCTGAGAGGACCTGGGCGCCTAGACTATTCTGTGCCCTTCCCACATGGTGCTGGGCCTGCTGCCTGTGTCCTCTGAACCTTCACTCAGGGAGAAATGCCTGATTGCCCAGCCTCAGAGCGGCAGTGACCTGCATTTGCATCAGGCATCCCCAAGGTTCAGTGGCAACTGAAACAGGACAGAGGAGCTGGGGGTGAGGGAGCCCCGCCTGGTGGACCACTCTATTCTGGGGCCAGGTCCTCCCAGGGGCCCTGGACTGCCCAAGGCCCTGGGTCTCCTCAGTCTTGAGCTGGGTGTGAACTGGCAGCTGTTGGCAGCATCATTCAGTTTAGCTGTCCCTCTCTCTGGGCACCCCTAGGTAAGTACAGTCACCCCACCCACTCTCCTCACAGGTCTAGTCCTGAGATCTTAGCACAGGGGCCTCTGTTTCAAGTAGAGCTCCCCATGCTGCCCTCCAGTGAACGTGCCACCTCCCTGGGTCAGCACACAGAGCAAGGACCATGAAGGGAGACCTGTGACTGACCGGAGCCCCTCCATCAGCCCAGCACCCCAGGCCTCCGGCAAGCCTCCCCAGCTCTCAACCCCGACCACATGCCTATCACCTGCCTATCATCAGCTGGAGCCCCCCGATCCTGGGTGCACATGCCAACAGGGACCTGCCCCTGGGAAGGCAGCCTTAGAGGGGCCCTCAGATGAGGACAAGGCTGAGAGGGACCAAGAGACCACTCCAGCCAGGGAAAACCCACCAGAGGGAGGGCCAGGCAAAGCACACCCACACCTACGCTGTCTTGCCCACTCAAGGCCTGCAGCATCCTGCTGACTATGACACAGTGTGGTGTCCTGGTCAAGCCAGTCATGGTACCAAGCCTCCCATTTATACTTCTGCAGCTCTGACAAGCTAGACCCTCCCTCCCCCCACTGGGCCCCAGAGGTAGCTGAGGGGCCTGCTCAGCCTCAGTTCCCACAGTAAGGCTGAGGCCAGGGGTGATAGAGGCTGGGCAAACCCCTGCCACAGGCCCAGGCCCACTGGCCTAGGGGCAGCTTTGAGGCCCCCAGGTAGACCCCTTCCTGCCCCGGTGTTCCTGAGTTTCCACCCACCCCCTGCCAGGTTGGGGGTGTGGCCAGGAAGTGGTCACAGAGCCAGCCGGGCAGCTCTCGGGCCATTCCCTGCCCCTCCACAGCCTTTCCAGTGTTGCCCAATCCGGGACTTCTGTGCTTTCCTCAGCTGCCGCAAGAGCCAGGCACCTCCTGACCCTGCTCCCGCCTACCCTCGGGCCTATCTCCCAGGCCCTGCCTGTCAGGAGCTCTGGGCAGGGCAGTGCCAGTCCGAGTTCCCCTGCAGCCCTCACAGAGGGTGCCCACTCAGCTGCTATTAAAACAATCTGGGCAACACAGTGAGACCCCGTGGCTGGACGTGGTGGCTGGGCATGGTGGCAGGGGCCTGTGGTCCCAGCTGCTGAGGAGGCTGAAGCCTGAGTCTCTTAGGCCCAGGAGTTCTCACGTTTTCTGTCCCAGAAGGAGGGCGCAGAGGTAGGGGAGGCCACTGGTCCCATCAGGGTGGAAGGAAGCAGGAACTCCTGGGGAGACAACGCCCCAGGTCAGGGTAAGGGGCTCCCTGCCCTGTGTGCTCACTTACTTGCTCCTTGGTCCCCCACAGACATTCCACACACTAGTTCCCCTTCTCACCCACTTGGCTGACCTCACTGCCCTGCCTGGTCCCGCCCTAGGAGGCATATGGATATCCCTGGGCCCAGTGCCAGGTGGTCACTGGCCTAACCTGGGGGCAAGGGTAGAGCCTTCCTCCCCCCTTCCTTGGACTTCCAGTCCAGTTCCTCCTTCCCTCTGGCTCCTTCTCCCTCCCCTTCTTCTCCCTTGCCTGGGTATGGTTGAGCAAGTTGCATACTGCACAAGGGCTCCACTGATACCACTTTGCCCATCCCACCCCACACTGTGTGCCCCAAGAAGATACCTTTTTCTAATTGCACAAAGGTCTTGGTGGATCTTGGTGGCTCCAGCTCTGTCCTCTCTTTAAGGCTACCTCCTTCCCACCTGCACCTTCCACCTTCCTTTTCCTCCCTTGCTCCTACAAACTCCAGGAAACTCCCTCAACCCACAGATTCAGAATATTGAGGCAAGAAGACCCCTGAGACAGCAGGTCAGGGCACCCCACAGTCCTCTCCCAGGTTGGAGCCTTCAGGTGGTGGAGAAGCAGAGTCTGTGCTGGGGAACAGACCAGGCCTTGCTGGGCTGAAGGAGAGGAGCACTGGGCACCCCAGACTCTGGCCACACAGAGGCCAGGAGGAGCTTACACTAGTTTTGAAGAATGCAGATAGGCTGAAATTCCTCTGAGGCCCCATGAACACCACTGCAGGATAGGGCTCAGCTCAGCCTCTGGAGGGCCTTCATCTCAACCTGAGCTGACCCACAAAGGTCTGTCTACACCCTGTGAAGGTTCCCTCACTTGGAAAAGGGGTTCTGTTCTGATGGACTTAGGGCAAGGGTTTCAGGGATCTCAAGAAAGGGTCATCCTGGATTTGGGTGGACCCTAATCCTAGGACCCATGTCCAGACAGAGATAGAGGGATGAGGCCATGTGACAATCCATGTGACAATGGAGCTGAGTGGAGTGACACAGCCACAAGCCAAGAGCCACCAGAAGGAACCAACTCCGCAGAGGAATCGACCTCAGACTCTAGCCCCCAGATCCCGGTGCAGATAGAAATCTGTTTAAGCCACCAGTTGGTGGCACTTTGTTAGGACAGGCTTAGAAACCTATTGGACTGAGCTCCCCATTGTAGGAGGTATGCAGGCAGAAGGTGGATGGCCACAGACAGGAGCATTATGGGAAGGAGCAGCCTGGGGACTCAAGGCCTCAGTCCAGTCCTCTTGATTCCTCCCAGACTGTTGGCCCTGAGGCAAAAGCTTCATGCCAGTGAAGACCCTGAAGCCAGAGTGGCCTGGACCAGAGCCACACAGCCACCAAGTGAGGCACTGAGAGAAATGGAGGACTCGAATCTCAAAGTCCAAATTCCTAATAATAAGCAGAAACAGAGCTTTCGAACATCCTAGGCTATTGTTCAACTACAGCTAACTGATTCCACCTAGCTATTGCCCCATGTTAAAAGACTCACGCAGGTGTTCTGGAGCCTTCCCCGGAGGGGGGCTTCCTGCTCCGCGCCACCGAGATTTAGCATAGAGAATGCCCCCTTTACACTCGAGTGTGAGGAAAGGCCAGGAGACAGCTGACACTCTCCTGCCCAGGACCAGGGCAGACGCCCCCCAGGCTGGCAGTGTGACTAAGGGCCCTGGAACCCCAGCTGACTCCTTTTCAGGTAAACCAAGACCCTCCAAGCACCTTGACCCCACCCCCAGCCAGCAGCACTGGGAGGGGGTAAGGTGCAGGAGGTTCCTGGGGGTTCTTTAAATGGAGCTTCTTAGGGTGCACGTCATAATTTCCACGGTGTTCTTATCTCCTCCATCTCAGACCTTTTATTTTTTATTTATTTTTTAGAAACAGAGTCTTACTCTGACACCTGGGCTGGAGAGCAGTGGCACAATCATAGCTCACTGTAGCCTCGACCTCCTGAGCTTAAGGGATCCTTCTGCCTCAGCCTCCCAAATAGCTGGAAACACAGGCTTGTGCCACAATTCCTGGCTATTTTTTTGTAGAGACAGGGTCTTGCTATGTTGCCCAAGCTGGTCTTGAACTCCTGGTTGCAAGTGGTCCTCTTTCCTCTGCCTCTTGAGTAGTTGAGACTACAGGTGCCCATCGCATCAGCTAGTTTTTCTATTTTCAGTAAAGACAGGGTCTCTCTCTGTTCAGGCTAGTCTCAAACTCCTGAGCTCAAGGGATCCTCCTGCCTCTGCTTCTCAGAGTACTGGGATCACAGGCACAAGCCACTGCACCCAGCCCATCTGACTTTTTTTTTTTTTTTTTTTAGAGTGCCTTGGTAGAGTGCCGTAGTGTCACAGTTCACAGGAACCTCCAGCTCTTGGGCTTAGGTAATTCTCTTGCCTCAGCCTCCTGAGTAGCTGGGACTACAGGCGCCCGCCACAACGCCCAGCTATTTTCTTGTTGCAGTTTGGCCAGGGCCAGCACCCTATTCACCGAGGCACAGGCACCCCCCATCTTAGACTTTTTATCTTGAATTTTTGTTTCAGTAAATCTAGACACGCCCAGGAGAGAGAGACCGGAGGATCTTGGTTGCCCCGCCTCCATCTCCTCTGAAGAGCTCTCGCCTGGGCAGGAGGACAGAGAACTGACACTCACTGTCCCTGATCCCCTGATCATCTTAAAGAAAAGGTGTCCAGGCTCGGCGCCTATAGCTCAAGCGGCTAAGGCGCCAGCCACGTACACCTAAGGTGGCGGGTTCGAATCCCCAGCCTGGACCCGCCAAACAACAATGATGGCTGCAACCAAAAAATAGCCGGGCGTTGTGGCGGGCGCCTGTGGTCCCAGCTACTTGGGAGGTGGAGGCAGGAGACTCGCTTGAGCCCAGGAGTTGGAGGTTGCTGTGAGCTGTAATGCCACGGCACTCTGCCCAGGGGGACAGCTTGAGGCTCTGTCTCAAAAAAAAAAATAAAAATAAAAATAAAAATAAAAAAAATAATAAAATAAAATAAAAAATAAAAATAAAGAAAAGGCGTCCACCCACAGGTGCTGTAGTTCTATGCAGGAGGCACTCCCCCCCTCCAAGGTGCCAGCGCCGTTGTGTCCAAATGGCACAGACATCCCACCTGGGTGGGTCAACGAAAACCACTCACAGAAAGTCCAAGTGTCAGACCAGGCAGCCCATGAACAACCCACATGCAGGTGCTCAGGGTGGGCGAGGTCCTGCAGAGGGTCACAGGGAGGAACTTCACAGGGGCTCCACGCGTGCCTGTGACGTGATGCACAGTGGGGCGGGGGCCCATGAGGACAGAAGGAGGATGTGCCTACGGCTGGGCACTTCCCGAGGAGGAAGCAGTGCCGCCGGATTTCCCCAGGTGTGGCCCCTGGTATAAAGAGCTGGGTGGCCAGGGCCCTAGCCAGGTATACCATTGGGACTGCCCCAAGTTCAGCCTGCTGCTGCTACATCATGGTGAGCCTAGCCCAGCTCCCCATACCCACCCTGGATGGTGTAGCCTGCCTGCAAGGGCTGGGGTTCTTGGTTCTCTGAGCCTTTGGATGAGGACATTGGCTGGGGCCTGGGAACCATATCTGGAGGAAGGGAAGCCCCACCCAGGGCCCTAGACTCCCCAGTGCGCAGGGTGCCTTGGGCTACAGGCCAGCCTCTACACCTGTTTCTCCATCTGTAGAGGAAGTGGTTTACCCCATCTTTCCCTTAGGAACAGAGCAAGCTGGGTGGGAGTGAGGTGCCCCTTTCGTGGACACCCCTGACAGCTCACCACCTGTGTCACCAGCTCCTCCCCAGCCTCTTGCTTCTGATCTGGCTGCCCACTGGCCTGGCTCACCACGACCCCCCACTCTGGGGAGAGGCCCACACTCGCGGGACCCCACGTTGCTACTCAGCTGAGGAGCTACCCCTCGGCCAGGCCCCCCCACACCTGCTGACTCGGAGTGCCAAGTGGGAGCATGCCTTGCCTGTGGCCCTGGTATCCAGCCTGGAGGCAGCAGGCCATAGGAGGCGACATGAGGGACACTCAACTGAGACTCAGTGTCCTGTGCTACGGCCAGAGGAGGTGTTGGAGGCAGACACCCACCAGCGCTCCATCTCACCCTGGAGATACCGGTGAGGCTGCAGGTGCACCCCTGTTCCACAGGCACAATCCCCCACCCAGGACCTCAACCCTGACCTTGTCACTAGGGGCCAGGGAGAAATCTGGGCCCCCACCTGAGCCCAACACCACCCTCCCAGCCACCTGCCCATCCTCTGTGCTTGCTGGCACCCAGCCCAATCTGGGAGCAGACGCCACAGGGTATTGGGGTGGGGGTGGAGTACAGGGGTCCAAGATGCTGGGATGGGGACGGCAGGGAGTTCAAAGCTGCTGTGGTCTGAAACAGAAGTCTCACTGCTAATCCCTGCAGCATGGACACAGATGAGGACCGTTACCCGCGGCAGCTGGCCATGGCGGAGTGCCTGTGCAAGGGCTGTATTGATGCCAGGACCGGCCGGGAGACGGCCGCGCTCAACTCAGTGAGGCTGAGCCAGAGCCTGCTGGTGTTGCGCCGCCGGCCCTGCTCCAGTGACGGCTCAGGGAAGCCCACACCCGGGGCCTTCTCTTTCCACACAGAGTTCATCAGAGTGCCTGTCGGCTGCACCTGCGTGCTGCCCCGCTCAGCACGGTGACAGCCATGGGTGTGGAACCCTGCAAACTGTCCCCTGTGGCTCTGGAGGGCTGCTTATTTATGTGTATTTATTGATATTTATGTGCCCCCACCTTGCCTTTCCTCGGGAAGTACCAGCTCAGGCCTGGCATCCTGAGCCTTGGGTGACCCTGCCAATCACTCCCAAGCGCCAGCCTGAGTTCACCTTTTTTCAAGAGCAGCTGAGGACGATGAGGAACAGCATGGGAAAGGAGGCAGACACCCCAGTTCCCTCTGTCCAATATCCATGGGAGGAAAAAGTGCCCTTCTATTTTATTAAACTATTATTTATTTATTTATTATTTTTTTTTTTTCTTGCAGTTTTTGGCTGGGGTCGGATTTGAACCTGCCACCATCATGGTATATGGGGCTGGTGCCCTACCTTTGAGCCGCAGGCACCACCCCACTATTATTTATTTTAAATGTAAATGTCATTAAACTGATAAACACATCCCCAGAGGCCAACACAGCAATGGTACATTTCCCCATGCCATTGACCTCCTTCCAGAAAGGGTTATGCATGGACAAAACCTGGTCCACCCAGGGTGCACTGCCACACAGAAGGAAGCAGCCAGAGATTTTCACCTGACACTCCTGGAGCTGACTGCGGACCTGGGGAGGGAGGTGTGCCCTCCACTGCTGCTATGACCCTGAGCCTCTCCCCAGGGCAGGTGTCTCACCACAGATCCCCAGGGGTGCTGTGTAGCCTTGGAGAGCCTCAGACCTGCTGAGGGTGTGACATGCAAAGGTGAAGGCACTGGGCAGGCTCAGGGTCTCAGCTCTAAGAGCGGACACTATTATGGGGCTGTAGGGCTACTGGGCAAGAGAGACCACACCCCCCCAGCCCTCCCACCTACTGATTGACGCCTGCTGTGTGCAAGTGGGGGCTGCGGACTCGCACCTGGGAGGCACTGGGCGGTGCATTTCCTAGGGGGAGGGATATTGCTTCAACACGGTACTTAAAGAATTTTCAGTACCTGCCCTGCTGGGGCATCAGGGCAGTGAACAGAAGGGATAAGATCCCAACTTCCCCCCAAGCTTTAGTCGTGGATAAGTGGAGCCCAGAGGCTGCGCACCAGTACACGGGACCAAAGGCTTGGGGACCGCGGGGGCGCTGCAACATCCCCCAACGGGGCGACCCGAAGAGAGGTCGGTGTGGCCAGGAGGCAGGTGCAGACCCGCCCCGGGGTTTTGGATGGGAGGGGACTGGGCAGCCAAGGCCACCCGAGGTTTTGTTGGAGATTGGGGGTTCGAGCACGCTGTGTGGTCCGGGGATCCCAAAGGCCCGCGATGCCGCTGAGCTGGCGGGCCCCGGTTCGGCGATTTGCTCAGAGAGCCGAGGAGGAAGGGAAGGGCCGGCTGAGGAAGCACAGGGCTCCTGGCTTCCACAGAAGCGGGGTCGCGTGGATGCTGTGGGTGCTTGTGGGGCCGGGTACACGCGATGGAGGACGCGCCTCCGCCCACGCCGCCGAAACGCCCACAAGGATGAATGGGCGGCGTAGTGGAGGGGCCCGTCGGGCTAGGGTACAGCGGGCGCCCGCCCCTCCCCGCAGCAAGAGCGTGGCTCCAGCAGTCACAGCCTTTATTGAGGGCGTCCCGGGGTAGCCACGCGGTGGGGTGGGAGTGGGGTTGGGCAGGTCCCAGGCAACGTCACACGACCTCGTCGGTCACCTCCATGGGGTTGGTCTGGGGGCCTCCCGGGGAGGCCCCCTCCCCCGCTGCCTCCTCCTCACTCCGCTTCTTGCGGGCCTCCGCCGGGGGTCGGGGCGGGGGGTCGCTGGGTGGCTGCTTGATCGTGCCCCCGACCTGGGGCCGCTCCTTGGGCTTGGGCTCAATGGGAGTCCACTGCTCCCCGCGGACAGCCGCCTGAGGGGACGGAGGGGTCGGGTTGGGCCAAGCAGACAGCAGAACTTCTCCAGCCCACCCAGCCAGGGCACCAAGGGCTCATGCTGAATCCCACAGAGGGGAGGGAGGGCTTTTGGCACAGAGAGATTAAGTGATTGCCCAAGGACACACAGCCTGGACCAGGCTTAGTCTGACACCAACTCAAGCTATTTCAAGCTCCAGAAGGGGTCCAGCAAGGGGGATGGGACCAGGAAGATTTCTGGGCTTCTGAAGATCTCCTGGTGGCTACTTCTCAGTACAAATTCTAAGACCACTGGGTCTCCTTTGAAGGGACTGAGGGCAGGAAGGACAGGGACGGACCCAGGCCTCAGCTCATGGTGGGGGCAGTCCTATTCACGCTTACGCGGACCTTCCCTGGGGAGGCTGCCCAGCCACTTCTGCACAGAGGCATGGAGGTGGCTGAAGAGTGCACAGCAGGGATTGGGAGAGAGGGTGCTTACTAAAAATACAGACTTCTGGGCTCCATGCCTGAGATTCTGTTGCAGCAGGTCAAATAGGCCCGGAAATGTGCATTTTTGACTTAGTACTCCCTAGTATTGGGGGTTTTTTTTAGTTTTTTTCTGAGATTGAATCTCACTTTGTCGCCCCCCGGCACAGTTCTCAGCAACCTCTAATTCTTGAGCTCAAGCCATTCTCTTGCCTTAGCCTCCCCAGTAGCTGGGACTACAGGCACCCACCACAATGCCCAGCTATTTTTAGAGATGGGGTCTCGCTCAGCTCAGGCTGGTCTCAAACTTGTGAGCTCAGGCGATCCACCCACCTCAGCCTCCCAAAGTGATGGGATTACAGGTGTGACCCACTGCACCCGGCCCCCCATAGTATTTGATAGAAAAAATATGTATCATGGACTGTAGGAACCATCCCACCTCCCAACTCAAGCACTGAACATTCAGTCCTGAAGAGAAAAACCATAAAGCTGGTAGAAGAGGTAGATTCAAGACTGAGGGGCAGGGAATAACTTTTTTAAAAAGCACAAACCATAAAGCAAGTAAGCACATAGAGAAGTTTCTATTCTGCTCAGTGAAGGGCTCAGGACACATCAGCAGACTCTCAACAGAAAGGAAGCAGGTACAGTGTCTAAAACTCGCAAAGGGTTAATAATTTAAAACGCATAAATGTCTTTTTTCACCAGCTCCCACATCCCCCTCCTGCTCTCTCACTGAAGTCTAAGCCTTCCTGCTGATGCTGCACCCTCCTTCAGGAAGGCCTCTTGGATTTCACCCACCTCAGCGCTCAGGCTCAGAGCCTGCCCTGCCTCCCTATTTTCATTCTCTCTTCTCTTCCTTTCCTTTTTTTTTGAGACAAAGTCTTACTTTGTCGCCCTTGGTAGAGTGCTGTGGCGTCACAGCTCACAGCAACTTCTAGCTCTTGGGTTTAAGCAATTCCCTTGCCTCAGCCTCCCGAGTAGCTGGGACTACAGGTGCCCACCACAACACCCGGCTATTTTTTGTTGTAGTCTGGCCAGGGCTGGGTTTGACTCTGCCACCCTCGGTATATGGGGCCAGCGCCCTACTCACTGAGCCACAGGCGCCGCCCAAAATGCATGGAATTTCTATAACTTAAGAAAAAGAAGCCCAAGTAGAAACATGGGCAAAGGCCATGAGCAGACAATTTAGGGGAGGGGAAACTCAGACAGCTGAAGCCCATCAGGAGGTGCTCAGTCAAAATCCCTGCTGTCAGCCTGTGAAACTGGCAAGTGGGGAGAAGCCTGGGGCAGTGCCGAGGGCTGCCCAGGTGCCTCCAACCCGGCAAAGGGTGTGAGGCTGACACCTGACCAGGCAATTCTGCTCTGGGTTTAACCCAGTGAGTCCTCACTCAGGCCTACAAGGGCCCAGCTGTGTGTGGCAGTGGGCAGTCAGAGGCAGGTGGGTGCTTCAGGAGACAGACCCCAAGCAACCCAAAGTCACTGAAAGCACCTAGGAGAGGTTCTAGAAGTGAGTACAGCGACATGGCACCCAGCTGACCTTGTTTATGCACGGGTGAAGCACACACACAAACGTGCTACATACATGTGCTCCAGGGAGAAAAGAGATAAATAAGCAAAGAACCAGGGCTTTGTCCTCCCAGAGATGGCAGGGAGCCTTGGGAAGCAGCTCTGCCTGCCCCCCCCAGCCAGACCCACCTCTTGGTGGAGCTGCTTTACCCATGCACAGCGTTTTTCATAAACCTAAGCACCAAGCAAGCCTCAGCATCAGCATTTTGGTTAAATGTCTGTGTGGGGTCTGCACAGTTAATGAGCCCTGGGAGGTACTCCTGACACAGCCTCCAAATTGGAGAAAACAGGGCTTAGACGAGAAAAGGCTGCTACATGGACCCAAATCCAGGCTGGCCTTCAGCTGGCTGTGTGGCCCCTGGCCGGGCACATCCCCTCTCTGAGCTTCTTCTCAAAATGAGGACCCCACTACACCCCTTGCAGACTGAATGAGAAAACAGGAAGATAGCCTAGCACACATCAGACACAGGGCCCTGTCATGGCATGAACACACAGGCACGCTCGCTTTGGTTCTGACAAAGCTGCAGCGGTCCCAGACTCAGCTCAGGGATCTGGCTTGGGGGGTGGCTAGGGGTCGACTTCAGAGGACACCACTCACCAGCAGGTAGATGCCACTCGCGATGGCCAAGCAGGCAGTGCCCAGGATGGTGGCAAGCAGGAAGCCTGCAGGCACTGATAGCCTGCAAAGGAGGTGGGCAGGGGGAGGAACACAGAAGGCAGTCACAAGGGGGTCTCAGTCTCAAGACTTCACAGACCACAGGGATACCAGCTCTGCCAACATTTGCCTTAAGTTTTGGCAGACTGTTCTCTGCCTTGCTTTGTGCCTCAGGGCGCCTGCTGCCAGGTTGCCATCGTAAGAGGAAGCCCAAGCAGCTGTAGGGTGGCCCTGGCCCTATAACGGCCTCCAGACACAGGAGGCCCTCCACCAATGGCAATTGCTCAATACCCAAGCAAAAATCACCCCCACTGAACCCAGTTGACCCTAGAATAGCCACTGTGATGGATTTAAGCTCCTATGGTGGGAGGGAATGGTCATGCACAACAGACAATAGATGCAGGTCTGGGGAACCTCTCAAGAGCTGTGGACCTGGGTTTTGGTCTGGAAAAATACCCAGGCAAGGCAGGGATGGCTTGACTTGGCCAACCTCTCTTGTCCCTGTGGCCACGCCAGTGGGGAGTTCCTCCAGTGGACAGGGCCCAAGACTCACATGAGATGCAGGATGGCCCGGATGTAGTAATTCCTGGTGAGGGGCCCAAAGAGCTTCACCACAGCAGTCATATACTTCTGTCCACTGGGGGAAAAGACAGACTGTGGGTTGGGCCTGCCCTACTCTGGAAGCCCGCCAATCCTCCCCCACTCCCTGAGCCCTCAGGCTTCTTCTTCTTTCTTTTTTTTTTTGTAGAGACAGAGTCTCACTTTTTCGCCCTTGGTAGAGTACAGCGGAGTCGCTCCAGCAACCTCCAACTCCTGGGCTTAGGCGATTCTTCTGCCTCAGCCTCCCAAGTAGCTGGGACTACAGGCACCCGCCACAACGCCCAGCTATTTTTTGTTGCAGTTTGGCCGGGGCTGGGTTTGAACCCGCCACCCTCAGCATATGGGGCCGGCACCCTACTCACTGAGCCACAGGCGCCTCCCAGCCCTCAGGCTTCTAACTGCACAGGGCCACTGGTCTCAGACAGAAGCACCAGGCTCCTGAGGGGCCACTAGCCAACTTCTTGGTCTGGTCAGTGAGCTTTGCCTGGGCTCCTCTGGAAGACCCCAGAGCAGGTTGGGCAGTACTCACCATCGCTCCATGGTGGAGCCCTTGGCCCTCTTCCCCCGGGGGTACTCCAGCAGACACACGAACACCCC